AATAATAAGTTATTATTTAGTTCATTCTGTTTCTTATGAGTGGTTTCTTTTTTATCAATATATATATTCATTATACAAAATGATGGGTTTCATTATGATCATTTGTTAGCTGTATATCATGCATTTTGATTACGTCTCCCCATTACACACCTTGCTTCTCTCCCTCCCATTGGTCCTCTCCTTTTTCCTGAGTAGGTCCCCTTTTCTTTTCATTTCAAGTAAATATATTTACTTTTAGTTTTTACACTCCATTTTCCCACATAAATCTCCTTTTAGCGGCTCAAATGCAAACATTATATTCTCTTGAGAGAATGATGTGAATTCTTAAGATTTTCCTTTTGATTCTTTCTGTTGTGTTTGTATTTCCCAATCATTAAGGGCCAGAAAGTCATATTGCAAATGTGCTAATTTATAAGTTTTGGTAGCCTGTGGCTTTTATTATTGATACAAATTATGTTCTGAACCCTGCAGCGAGAACTTCTGGATGTTGTGGATAACTATGAGTCTGCAGTGATTGTCGCCCCAACGTCCTCAGGCAAAACGTATGCTTCTTACTACTGCATGGAGAAAGTGCTGAAGGAGAGTGATGAAGGGGTGGTTGTATATGTTGCACCAACAAAGGTAATGCTCTAGTGATTGATCACAGTGTTATTGTGCATTCTGGAACTTCCTCAAAACATATTAGACATAGTTATGGGATAGATCCAGCTCACTTTATTATTATTATTGCTATTATTGTTGTTATCGTTATTATTGTTATCATTTATTATTATTTTTGAGACAGGGTCTCCTTGTAGCCTCAGTTGGCCTGGAACTCACTATGTAGACCAGGTTTGCCTTGATCTTACGGAAATCTGTCTGCCTCTGCCTCTTGAGTGCTGGGATTAAAGGTGTGTGCCACCACACCCGGCATTTTATTATTTTTGTTTAGTTAAAAAATTGTGAGGCTGGAGAGGTGGCTTATTACTTAATACTTGCTCCTCTGGGTTCAGTTCCCAACACCCACATGCCTCACAGTCATCTGTGACTCCAGTTTCAGGGTATTTGATGCCCTCTTCTGGCCTCTCCAGGCACTGCATGCATACAGGTACATGCATGCAGGCAAAACACTCATACACGTAAAATTTTAAAACAAATAAATTTAAAAGAGTGAGCATACAAAGTAATCGGCTTTATAATAACATTTTCATAAGTATTTTGTTTTTATTAATTTTCCTTCTCTACTTCCCCCATACAGATTGCTAAATTATTCTTAAAGTTTAAATCTAGTTTTTTCCCCCAGGGGCAGTGTAGGAAATGCACCTTCTTTTGTCTTTCCAGCATTCTTGTTGTTGAGTTTCTGCTGTATTTGTACATAAATCTGCTCTCTCAAATTTAAATTGCATTTCTTTGGTTAGTGATTTGGACAAAGTTCCATATGGCTATTAGTCTGTGACTTTTCTTGAATTCAGATTTACTTGAACATGTATTTGCCCACTATTTATGTTGGCAGACTTAGCTTTTAAAATAATGAAATATAATCAAAATTTTAAATTAAGCAAAATTTGTCTAATGCATAACAAATTCTTTTCTAACATAAATCATAACAAAATATACATTCATGTATTATTTTTCATCTTAGCTTATTATAGTTATTCTAAAAATAATCTTAAAATCTGTATAGTTAGAAGTATCCATATTTTCATTTGGTTGTTTGTGTTTTAGTAACTTTTTAATATCTTGGTTTAATTAATTAATTTTGAGGCAGGGTCTTACTATGTAGCTCTGGGTTGTCTGGAACTCACTATGAAGACCAGGCAGGCCTTGATCTCACAGAGATCTGCCTACCTCTACCTCTCAAATGCTGGGATTAAAGGTGTGCATTACGATGCCCAGTGATTTTTTTTTTCAAAATATCTTTATGTTTATACTATAACATTTACAGTTTCATCTACATTTACATTTTTGGGCACAAAAATGAAATAAACATTTTCAGATTTGTAGAGTCCACTGGCCAAGCTCTTGCTTGGTCCTAAGCTGGACTCAAACATTCTTGTCTACACTTAAGCTTCCAACATGTGAGGGGAGTTTCCAAATACCTAACACAAGTCTATTTGAATTCGTTAGTTAGCGCACAGATTCTGGGTATTGGCCATTCAATGATTATACTATGAATGTAAATTTTCTTGCTATAGAGTTGCATTTTCCAGATAAAGGTTTTTCTGTTTTACTTTAGTTTGAAATTTGTCAATGAAATTCAGACGCTAAAGTTGGGTAGTCGAAAGGGGGTTTGTACATCTTTCTGCACAGGTGGCAGAGACTTCTGGACATTTCCATTGTCCCGTAAAATTTTGCTGATCTAAATTTTATTATATGTCTAATACAGCTTTTCCCTTGTCAATTAGGCACTTGTTAATCAAGTGGCAGCAACTGTTCAACATCGTTACACCAAAAATCTGCCAGCTGGTCAAGTTCTGTGTGGCATCTTCACTAGGGATTATCGTCATGACGCCCTAAACTGCCAGGTGTGGTATGCTGGTTCATAAACGTTATAGCAGATTATATAATAATATTGTAGCTCCTTTTGACTGGAAATCTAACATCTTCACAAGGCTTGTGAAGATAATTTCCTTGAATTTGTGAAAGACTAAACAGCTTTAGAGAAAACACAATTTTGTTAAACTTCAAAGAGTGTGGAAAATAGAACTTGTTTTCTCTAAGGGTGCTTACATTTTGATTCAAGATTTCAGTTTATAGTTCATCATGTTGGTTTATAATGGGATTCAAAATAGTACAAAGCTCTTTATAAGCTTCAAAACTTAATGAACTATAATTTGTAATAATAATTACTTTCTCTTGTTAAACATACCCATTTTAATTTAAAAATGTGTTATGGCTAGTAAACCTAGTGTTAATGAGTTAGCGTTCCTCCTTTTTGAACTTGCAGATCAGCAATTATGACAAAATGAAAAATAAGCACATGTTAGACTTAACGATGTGCTACCCAGATTCCCTTTCAAGGAGGAGCCTATTGCCCAGATACGGGGTGTGTGGTTGGGAGAGGTGGCAGCTGGTAATGCCCTTAGTTCTGCTTCCACAGGCTACATTCTGTGACTGACGTTGAAATGGGGGCATAAACACTGCACCATTTTGACTTGATGTGGGACAACTCTGTAAGGCAATATTAATTCTGAACCTGATTGGCTGAGGCCGCTTCAGAGCTGGTCTTCTCCCTGTCACCATCTTCTTCCTTCATTGTTGATTCTCAGTAAACTTTTTCCAGAGCAAATTCTACATGAGTGTTAGATTTTAAAGAATCAAAGTGGTTACAGTTAATGACTTCATTTTTAATATTTCTCTTTCAAAATAATTTTTTGTTTGTTCTTTCAGAATTTCAGGCATATGTGTTGTGTATTATGATCATATCCACGCCCACATTCCTCACTCCTTCCCACCCCAACATCCCTCCGGCACACCCCACTGTTCCCTCAATACCATATTCCTTTCCCAGTTGCCATCGAGTGCCAGTAGCTCCTCCTCTAAGGGTGGGGCCTTGTGTGTCTCCCCCTCATCTATGCTGGAATTTTGACTGGCTTGAGCTCCTGCAGATCGTGTGCAGGCAATCACAACTGGTGTGAGTTCATCCGTGGAACTGCTATGTTATCTCAAGAAGACAGCATTTCACATCATTTTTCCCCATCCTTCAGCTCTGACCTCCTTTGAAATCACCCCTTCTGCAGCATTCCTTAAACCTCGGGGGCTTTATACCGCTTTCCCATTTAGGGACAGGCAGACTTTCAATCCTTAGAGACAAGAATCGAACTTCAGATTTGATATTTTACTGTTTTTGGTCCATGAAAATTGAAGTTTCATGTAGTTCGAACTAGTAAATTGCAATTGTAATGAATCCAATTCTTAGAAATTATATTATAATTTAATTAGTAGTGGGTATATTGAAGATTCGTAAGCTTACCTCATGTAATTTAATAACTCTGAGCATAGGAGCTCCTTAATATGATACTGATACTGTTATTTTTAGGTGCTTATCACAGTGCCTGCCTGCCTTGAAATTCTGCTGCTAGCCCCTCATCGGCAAAGCTGGGCGAAAAGGATCAGATATGTTATATTTGATGAGGTGTGTATGATATTATTTCTCAGGCTAATTTCCTCCTGTGTATAAGTGCTGTAATGAAGGTCTTTGCTGCTTTAGGACATCTGTTCCCTTGACGAAATTCAGATTTGGAGGCAACTTCTGAACAGTTTCCCCAGATGAATTAGCCTTTTTCTCCTGATTTCTTTTGTGAATTGTAGTGTATATAGGTGCATCCTTTAGAGTTCTGTGTGCATGATGAACCATTCCTCTTTGGAGGCTGCTGTACAAGGAACACAATTCAACTTTCATGACAGCAGTGTCCCTGGACAGAAATTTCAAAATTCAGTCTGATCTCTAAAGCAGAGAATTTTAAGTTCTAGCAAATGATATCAATTATACAAGCAATTTTGCCAGTCATGTCCCCAACAGAAAACAAGTGGCACACTCAAAATACAAATAAAGAAGTGTATTTTTTTAAAAAAGACGTATGTGCGGGCATGGTGGTGCACACTTTAATACCAGCGCTCAGGAAACAGAAGCAGGCATATCTCTGTCAGATCAAAATTAGCCTGATCATAATGAGTTCTAGGCCAGCTGGAATTACAGTGAGATGCTTTCTCAAAAACCCAAACCAAAACCAACCAACCAAACAAACCAAATAAAAAGAATGTATGTGAGGAAATACAGATGAAAAGGTCTATTCCCAGGCATAAAGGGACAAGATGAGGAAATACTTACTTTAAGCTCCAAAGAGATTCTGGTTGAATGGACCCACATTTCAAGGAGTGTTACCTTAGTTGAGGAACGTGGTTGGCACAGACAACCTTGGAGGGAGCCAATGGAAAAATGATCCCAATTTATTCTCCTCTCACTTCTGATGAGAGAACCCGAGGCCCACTTTGTAGATGAGTTTCCCTGGGCAGAGAGAGGGGCAAAAATCATCGTGGGCATAAAGGGCCAAATGAAAAATAGTTATGAAGTCATGTAGCAGTGCCCTTAAGCATATTGATTCACAGAGATTTAAAACATCATAGAAAGATACATTACTCCAAGGAGTTGTAAATTTTAAAAGGAACAAATAGCATTTGTTTAATGTAACTTTCTCCTGCTTATTATATTATATAATTATTGATGATAATTTTAAATATTGTGAATTAATCCAGGTCCTTGAATGTTTTAAGAAGCCCTCCACCACACAGTTGAATTCCTAGCTGCCTTCCTTTGTCATGAAATTATAATTACCAAGTAATCTGTGCTTTTCATTTATTTGATATACTTATTTTTGGTTAACTTGAATATTTTGCATATCAAAGGCTTTGGATATTTATTTATTTATTTATAATTTATTTATTTACTATTTATTTTTATTTATTTGAGACAGGGACTTCCTGTAGCTCCAGCTGGCCTGGAACTTGCTATGTAGACCTGGCTGGCCTTGATCTCACAGACCTTCACCTGTCTCTGCCTCCCGAGTCCTAAGATTAAAGCTATGAGCCATCACATCAGGTTGTTTATTTATTTTTTTGAGACAGGCTCTCTCTATGTAGCCCAGTAGGACTGCTGGGATTAGAGGCACACATCAGTACACCCAGTACAGTGCAATCTAGAATAATAAGTTGCAACTTAATCTCAAAACTCTGAAGTGGTACAACATTGGATACCTCAGCTGTTCTAATTGTGTATAAAGGTGGAAATGAAAGGCTTTGAAGGCTAGTGTCTATTCTGGTTAAGTCAAGGAAAATTGCTACCTATTACAAAGCTTAAAATTAATGTTTAGCAGAGTGGTGTGTCATCTGACCAGGAAAATATTAAATGGGCCATACAAAATATGTATCTTTATCTGTATATCAATCATCTATCTATCTATCTATCTATCTATCTATCTATCTATCATCTACCTATCATCATCTACCTACCTTGTAAAATTACCTGTCTTTGATAGTAAAATCCTTTTCAGTTCATTGCCAGATATCATAGTTTAATTTGTTTAATTAAAATCTTTCTTGAGGGGCTGGAATAGATGGCTCAGTGGTTAAGAACTCTGACTGTTCTTGCAGAAGACCTGGGTTCGAATCCCAGCACCCACATGGCAGCTAACAACTGTCCGTAACTCCAGTTCCAGGGGATCTGACAGCCTCTTCTGTCCTCTGCTGGCGTTGCATGACACGGGTGCACTTACTTACATGCAGGAATAACACTCATACACGTAAAAAAATATTTTAAAGGTCTTTCTTGAATCTAATTTAATTTGGTGCATTCATTTATTTAGCAATATTTGACAACTGCCTCTCTAGGGCCAGGCATTATGTCAATGCTGGATGTATCCACATGTGAGGTTACAGTTTAACTGAGAAGGTTAAAATAAACCAGTGAAAATATGGAGCCAACACTAGTCCACTCTGAGGTCTGGAGTTTGCATCGTGGTTGGAACAATGGCAGAAGGCAGTGGGAGGGACCTGCGCAGTGTGGCAGCAAGGTCTTCTTTTTTCTAAGTTATAGCTTCTCTTTTTAAATAATTTTTATTGAGCTTTTTAAATTTCATACAACATTTCCCCCTCAAATTCAGACCACCTTTCTGACCCATGCCTCTCCCTATCCCCTCATCGAACCCTATGCACTCTGCTATACATGCTGATTCCTAGTCATTCAGTTGTTTGTACCCAAATGTCCTTCAGTGTAAATGCGTCCACTGGAGTCTAGCCAACCCATCCAGTGGTCATATGTAAGTCATACTCTCCCTCACCCAGCAGCAATCAATCTCAAAAAGTTCTCAATCTAGGGCTGGAGAGATGGCTTGGTGCTTAAGAACACTGATTTTCTTGCAGAAGACTAGGGTTTGAATCCCAGCACCCACATGGCAGCTAACAACTGTCTATAACTCTGGTTCCAGGGGATCCAATAGCCTCGTCTGCCCTCCGTGGGCATTGCACAACATGGTGCACTTACCTACACACAGGCAATATACGCATACACATAAAATAAAAATAATAAAGTATTAAAAAAGTTCTCAATCTAGTGCTGGCCTGCCACCCATTTCTCACCTCTCCTTTGGGCCCTTGTTTAATTGAGCTGAGATGGGTCCCATGCTCAATGCCAAGCAAGGTCTTTTTAAAGTAGTGACGCTAGGCTGAATGCCGCAGATTAAGAGGCAGTCATTATTTTTGATCATGTTGATTAAAGTGATGAGTCTTTTAAGCAGGGGTTACCATCATGTGAAAGCTATTGGGTAGGAAGTGTGTTCTGAGAAACAAATCAAAGGCTGATATATATGAATCACAGTAAGACAGGGAAAAAGTAGCTAAAATGATGCTAGAGAGGCAGCAATGGCCAAATTATGCAAGGGGTTCTGTACCCTATTAAGTGCTTGTATTTGTTCCATGAGCAATGGAAAAAAGCTGACTAGTGGCATGGCCAGATCTGTATTGCCCTTGAAGTGTATCATTTTGTCTATGATGCTAAGAATATAGATAGCTAGGGCAACACTCAGAAACACAATGTATTATGATTGAGATGTGATGGTGACTTGATTGTCAGTAGACAGGGCAAGAAATGAATAGGTCTAAAGAAGGTTATGAAAGTGAAACAAAGAGGAATTACTTACTGGTGGATTGGTTAAGGAGACTAAGGAAAGCTAAAGTGCCATGATTTTCTATTGCCTGAGTTTTTCAAATATTAATCTTGGCACAGTCAATCAAAGGTCATGGGAAGAACATTATGAGCAATTTAAGATTTCGAGTATCATTTCAATGCACTGTTCTTTAAATCAGCTTGTCAAATGAGGAAGTTTTGTTTTCCTCCCCCATAGGTCCATTGTCTTGGTGGAGAAATTGGAGCAGAAATCTGGGAGCATCTCCTCGTCATGATCCGATGTCCCTTTTTGGCCCTTTCAGCTACAATAAGCAACCCTCAGCATCTCACTGAGTAGGGATTCGGTTCCATTTCAGGAAGAATGATTACCTATTTTGAAAGTTTTCAGTTCATACTTCTTTTATGTGTTCTAGAGTTTCCTAAATGTCTGATTAACTAATAGCTATCCCTGAATCTTCAAGCTACTGTCTCTTTAGATGTTTCTGGTAAGTGTTGGCCACCCTCTATTAAGAAATATCCAGAGACCCTTGGGTCATATCCGAAGTTGAATAGGAAGTATGACGTCATAGCTCAAATGAAATGACAGCTGTCTATTCCTCCCACCATCATCTCCTTTATCGGGAAACAACAGCAACAATAACAATAATAATGGTAGCAACAAAAACAAAGGGATAGAATGGTACATTCAGTCATAAATTCTGAGATCACCACACTTCATAGATGTTTCTTGGGAAACAGCCAGTCTTTATTAGTTGAAAGCTGCATATCTCTTTTGGGCTTGATGGCTGCCTAGCATTAACAACTGTAGCAATCCTGAAATCTCACCTGTGTCCCATTCTATCCTGAGTACTTTGCATGTATTATTTCAAATATAATTAACCTTTCAATTAAGTATCATTTTCATCATCATTATTAGATAAGAGTGCTTGCATTGTTGCTACTGTATATTCATTTTAAAAAGTAGAAGACAAGACTGTGGCTGGTCAGAAGTTCTGTGGAGTTCTAACCAGCCACAGTCATGTAGATCTCTGTAAGTCTGTCCGTTTTCTGCTGTTTGGGTCCATTCTTCAATTCTCTTATGAATGACTAAGAACCCTCTAGGGGACCCTCTTCCCCCCGTTTCAGTACAGGCCCAAACTATGGACATATGGTGTCTTACTTTGATTAAGAGACAAAATGACTTACAGTAACTGTATGTGAAGGTGCCTTGCAGACAATGATAGACTGGCACCATCTTCTGAAATATTTTGGAAAAAAATTCATCTTGTACCCTTTGTATGTTCAGAATGCAGCATTATCGGAAACCCTCAAACAAAAAAGTAGAAGACAAGGCACATCCATTATTTAAGGAAGAACGTTAACTAATAGTTAGAGAATGTGGAGTTCAATCTCATGTCTGCCTCTAGAACTAATTCCTTTATGTGAAAATTTTAAAGCACGTGAGATTTTCTTTAATTATTTGACTTCATGGAAAAGATTTCCCTTTTCTACCAGAGGAATGATAATTTACTTTTATGTTTATGTGACAAAAATACTATAAGGGAGGAAAAGAAAACTTATTTAGACTCATAGTTTTAGAAAGATTTCAGCCCATCATAGTGGGGAAGGGATGGAGAAGTGGCTCCATTCGTGGAGGTGGGAGCATGAGGTGGCAGTTTGTTCACATGACAACAGACAGGAAGCAGAGAGGTCTTGGTAAGAACCACTGGCAAGTATAATCACCAAAGGTCCATTCTCCTACCTCCTAAAGTCCTCACAGCTTTCAAAATAATGTCAAAGACTGGGGACCAAGCTCAAAACATAAGTATGTGTGGGATGTTACAGATTAAAACCATAAATAGTATATTAATTAAATTTTCAGGTGGCTGCAGTCGGTAAAATGGTACTGGAAGAAAGAAGACAGTGCAACGGGGAAAAGCACTGTTTCCAAAAGAAATGTGAGTGCCCACGGCAATTATCACAAAGCCCACTGGCATGTAAAACAGTCGTACAAAGTTAGACTTGGTATGTTTTATGTACTTGTATGAACTTTGCCTTTTTGATATAAAATGATTCAACTCATTCCATTTTAGTTAATTTGGAAAGTCTTACTCTTCCTTTTTAGTGCTGTATGGTGAGAGATACAATGACTTAGAGAAATATTTGTGTTCCGTGAGACAGAATGATGTCTGCTTTGAGCATTTTCACCCATGTGCTGCACTAACCACAGATCATGTAAGTAACAACGTAAGCCACAGTGGTTCCCATTAATATCATTGAGTATCTCATGGTTGAAAATATAGTATTGTGTATACTATACCTGAAAAGCTGCCTGATATTAGAATTACAGAAAAGACATTCAAAGCTTGATTTTTTTTTGTAAATTTTTTGTTTTATTTTTGTGTATTTCATACAGAACAACTTAATCAATCTTAGTCATCTTTATACCTCCTTCCCCTTTGGTACCCTCCCATAATGCCCACTGGAATTCATACATTCTGTCATTTGTGTTAAGGCCTATCATGTCAAGTTAGTGTCCCCAGACGTCCCTCAGTGCATGTTCATCCACTGGGGTCTATTCAGCCTGTCTAGACTCTGTCTCTTTAAGGAGATCAGCTCATCCTCACCCAGCACTAATCAGCTGCCAATAATTCTTAGACTAAGATTTGTAGCCCATTTCCACAGCTCTATGCTGAGTTTTTGTCTGCTTGACTTTGCATAAGTCTTGTGCATACTGACAACATTGTTGTAGGTTCATATGAGCAAGGTTCCAGGTGCTTGTGGGACTCTTATTTGGATATAGTCGTGCACGTCCTCTATTTCAATATGGTCATGCACTTCATCCCTGGCTCTTACAATCTTTCTGCCTCCTCTTCCACAATCATCCCTGAGCCTTGGGTAGGTAGAATTTAATATAGGAGTCCTGTCCAAGAACCCACACTACACTCTGCAGACTCTTACACTCCACACTTTGGCCATTTGTGGCCTTTTGTGTTCCTGGCCCTCTGTTGCATGAGGGAGCTTCATTGATGAGAATTGATAGATGCATTAGTGTCCTCTTCACCCCTTGTTCTATGTTCCGTGAGCCTTAAATGTAGAGGTTACATTGCAGATATGCCACTTGTTTGGGCAATTCACAAACAGTCTCTGTGTGACCAGTTGTGGAAATTTGTGATAATCCTGTCTGTTGCAGAAGAAGCTTCTTTGATGAGTGGTGACTGGGATACTTGTCTGTCTAGGGATCTGTATTTCTCACATCATAAGAAATTACATTTTTCTATGGATGTGACAGCCTTCAAGGTTTCTCTAAGATCTATGACCTCTCCAGCTATGTGTATCTGCCTAGGTTTACAGTACCACACATGAGTTTACTTCCATTAAGCAGGCTTTAAGTCCACTTAGATAGCTGTTAATCACCCCAAGATAAAAGTGCCACTACTGCGCCAATGTCATTTGCTGTGTCAGTCACTGATGTAGTTATTCAGCCTTGAAACTTGAGTTGGACCATTGACTGATGGTCTCCCTTAGCAGCTTGTATAGTGCTCTCTAACACTATGAGAGCTATCCTTCAAGGAGGTGGTTTCCAAGTCAGTTCCAGCTCCATTGCTTCAAATCCTGTGTGCAAAATATGTCCTGTCTTCAGCAGTAGGGTCTTACCTTCAAGTTCTGGGAGGCAATCAAGGGTCGTGGCAATAGCCTGTGTAGTTTTGGGAGCCACCTGGACTACCCTGGCCAACAACTCAAAGGAAGGTTTCGCCTGTCTGACACTGCTTCTTGTTACGTAGACTTCAGCTATACACATGGACTCATGTAGGGATATTGTATGTGAAATTTGTCAGTAGGTTTTTGGACTAATATAATTGTCTCTGGTTTTTTACATTAGCTAGGCATTCGTTATCTCTTCTCTCTCTCCCTGTCTAATCCTCCCTCCATGCCCTCCCCATTTAAAGTACCCCCGTTTCCCCCATTTCTCCCTTGATAATGCCAGTATCCTATGGTCCCAACTCTTATGAGCTCCTTCATCCCCTTTATCCCCATAGTTCCTGGTATAACTGTCCCTTACTCTTCCATTTAAGTACCCCAGTTTTATCCATTTCTCCCTTAGTAACACTCATCTTCTGCTGCTCTTCTCTCTCAGGTTCCTTCTTTCCCTTTCCCTTCCCAGTTCCTTTCCATTTTCCTGGTTTCTGCAGTCACATCAGGATACAGACTCACATATAAGAATTTGGTGCTAGGGTCCACAAATGAGGGGACCCGTTTAATTTTCTGAGACTGTGTTACTTCACTTAGTTTAGGAGTTTCTAGTTCCATCCATTTACCCACAAATTTCACAATTTGGTCTTTCTTTACCACTGAGTAGAATACATTTTCATTATCTACTCGTCAGTTGTTGAAGGACACTTATGTTGTTTCCATGTCTTAGCTATTGTGAAAAGAACAGCAACAAACATGAATGTACAGATGTCTCTGCAATAGTCTTTTGGTATGTGCTAAGGAGTGGTATAACTGGGTTAAATGGTAGGTTTAGTTTAGTTTAGTTTAGTTTTGTTTTGAGGCAGGGTCTCACTGTAACTCCAGCTGGCCTGGAACTCGATATGTAGACCAGGCTGATCTTGAACTTACAGAGATTTGCCTGCCTCTGCCTCCCTACTGCTGGGATTAAAAACGTGTGCCTGACTCATTTTTAGTTTTTTAATAGTTTTCCACACTGCTTTCCTTGGGGTTTGCACAAGTTTGCAATCCCACCAGCAGTGAATAGTATCCCCCTTTCCCTACATCCTCATCAGCATTTTGTATTCTTTGTTCTCTTGATCTTAGCCAGTCTGACTGGGGTAAGGTGAAATCTTAAAATGGTCAAACCTTGATTTTTAAAATGAAAGTTTTAGTTTCCTTGATATCTCAGTAGTGTCTGGATCCACAAAGCTTAAAAACTACTAAATATTTTTGAAACATGTTATTTAATATGTATTTTACATGCATGAGTGTATTGCTTGAATGTAGATAGGTGCAATGCTCCTGACATGTTGTGTTGTGCAAGGCTCCCAGATGCCAGAAGAGGGCATCAGATCTCTTGGAACTGGGGTTACAGATGGTTGTTAACCACTATGTGGGTGCTGGGAATTGAACCCTGGTCCTCTGCAAGAGCAGTCAGTGCTCTTACTCGCTGAACCATCTCTTCAGCCCACAACTACTAAATATTTTAACCTGGTAATTTTTTTGCTTTGGGAACATTATTTCTGCCCATTCCCTCCCCCTCTCTTAGCACCCATGCCTGTCTTTCATCTCTCTTAGCTAACTCACTATTACACCACTAATTAAATGGCTTGCACAGGCTTTAATGGTTCATTCAGAGAGGTTGCAATTTTGTGTAGATAACTCTTCATACATGTGAGAATGGGATTAACACGACTGGGGTTAAAGAAGGAAAAGGCACTTCTCACTAACACAACAATCATACCACGACTTTTTGGTAGTGAACCTATAGAGTGGAAGCCTCGAAAGGCTGTCAACAGGGTATTCCATTGTTAGTGCAAAGTGAATTCTTGGTTCTCTACATCTCTGCATTTTTCATCCACGTATTCCTCTGGAAAGTTCAATTCAACTCCCATTTTTTTTTCCTCAAAGATAGTTTTTTGTTTGTCTTCCTCCCTGAAAATTTAAATATATTCTGCATTTAATATCATATCAAGGCTCCTTAAACATAATTCTATTCTTTCAAAGACTTTACTGATTTCTTTAGAATCGGCTAAGTACATAGCCCTGTACCTTGACATCCCAGGTCTTCTGGGAGCTTGTTCCTGCGGAGTCCTTTCCTGTCGTTTATCAAATGTGTCTCCCTCAGAGTCCCTTATGCTATGTAACCTGTCTTAGGTGTTTTACCCTAAATACCAAGTGCCAGTTCCTGGGTTTTGTTTGTCTTTCAGACCTCATTCTGTCACTCCTCAACATAAGCTTCTCCATACCACTTTGTACTTATGTGACACCACAGTCAGATTACTGCTAGAGTTGTTCACCATATGTCTTTTTTAGCTTTCTAAAATAACTGCTGGAAGATGAAGTTCATGCACTTACAGTTCCTGACACACTGCTGTTGGAACACTGCCGCTTACTTTTATATGTTGAACTTGGATAGCCAACTGAATTTGTGTCTGTAAAAATGTTTACATATTTCATCTCTTTCAATCATCCCAACTGTATGACAGAGACCTACTACAAATTCCATTTCACAAAATTAAAAGAGACATGGAGAATTTTACTAACTCATTGCTGCACCCCTAAGTAAATGTTGGGAACCAACCATAATCTCAGAGCCATTGTTCCCGCTCTTTTTTTGGAAAGACTGTCCAAGGATTATATGAATGAGTGAGCATTATGTTATAGCCTTCAGGCTTATGTCACAATGCATTCTAAAGTTTTATTTTTCATTACAGCTTTAACATATTCAATAACAATTTCCAGAGCAAAGATGCATCTCTTTCAAAAGTGGCTATAAATTTTTAGGTTCACAGTGTTGAATTAATACAGTTATACATGATACACATAAAAATTTTAAGAAAATAATAAGTAAACTTTTTTTGGTTTGTTGAAGTCACATGTCCCTGTATCCCCAGGTGGCCTAGAACTTGTTATATAAATCAGGCTGGCTTCCGTCTCACAGAGATCTGCCTGCCTCTGCCTCCTGAGTGCTGGAATTAAAGGCACGTGCCGCCATGCCTGGTTAAATTATTTATTTTTATTTTATGTGTATGAGTGTTTCACCTGAATGTCTGTAAGTGCACTTGTGTCATGTGGTACCTGCAGAGGCCAGAGGAAGATGTTAAATTCTCTGGAACTGGTGTTTTAGGAGATTATTAACCACCATGTGGGTGCTAGGGTCCTCTACAAGAGCAGCCAGTGCTCTTAATTGCTAAACCATCTCTTCTTCCTCCCAAATATTTTAAAAATATTTTATTATTTTTATCTCATGTGTATGAGTGTATTACCTGCATGTATGCAAATACATCCATGTTTTTCAATACCCTCAGAGGTCAGATCCCCTGGAATTGGAGTTACAGATGTTGTTAACTGCCATATGGGTGCTGGGAACCAAACCTGGGTATCGGTTGCACTTGGCTCCTTGGCACCTGCGTATGTCTATAAAGTCATCCGGTAGACCTCAATGGTAATATTTATCACCTCTCCTAACCAGCATGACGTAATTTCCATGCTTCCTCCTCAAATATAATATTTTTTAA